AAAAAAAGGAACAAGACAATGACGTCCACTCTCACCATTACTATTTAACATAGTACTGAAAGTCTTAGCCTCAGCAATCAAGCAATAAAAAGAATTATTAAGGCATCCAAATTGGCAAGGAAGAATTCAAACTTTCACTATTTTCAGATGAAATGATTTCTCTATGTAGAAAATTCAAAAGACTCCACCAAAACACTGCTAGAAGTAATACATGAATTTAGCAAAGTCACAGGATATAAAACAACATGCAGAAATCTACTGCATTTCTATACATCAATAATGAAGCAGCAGAAAATGAAATCAAGAAATCAATCCCATTGGCAATTACACCAAAAGCAATTAGATACCTATGAGTAAACCTAACCCAAGAGGTAAACGATCTGCACTCTGAAAACTATAGAAGGCTTATGTAAGAAATTGAAGAGGATACAAAGAAATGGAAAAGTATTCCATGTTCATGGATTGGAACAAATTGTTAAAATATCTATACTATTCAAAGCAATCTACACATTTAATGCAATCCCTATCAAAATGCCACCAGCATTTCTCACAGACCTAGAACAAACAATCCTAAAATTTGTATAGAAAAACAAAATACCCAGGGTGCCTGGGTGGCTCAGTAAGTTGAGCGTCTGACTTTGGCTCAGGTCATGATCTCATGGTTCGTGGGTTCGAGCCCCGCGTCGGGCTCTGTGCTGACAGTTAGCTCAGAGCCTGGAGCCTGTCTTCAGATTCTGTGTCTCCCTCTCTCTCTGACCCTCCCTTGTTCTGTCTTCTATCTCTCTCTCAAAAATAAATAAAACATTAAAGAAAATTTTTAAAAAGAACCACAAAATACCCTAAATAGCCAAAGCAATTCTGAAAAAGAAAAACTAAACTAGAGGCCTCATTATTCCAGATTTCAAGCTCTATTACAAAGCTTTAGTCATGAAGGCAATATAGTACTGGCACAAAAACAGACATATACATCAATGGAACAGAATAGAAAATCCAGAAATGGACCTACAACTATATGGTCAACTCATCTTCGACAAAGCAGGAAAGAATATCCAATGGAAAAAAGACCGTCTCTTCCACAAATGGTTTTGGAAAAACTGGACAGCAATATGCAGAATGAAATTGGACCATTTTCTTATGCCATACACAAAAATTAATTAAAAATGGATGAAATACCTAAATGTGGGATAGAAAACCATCAAAATTCTAGAGAAGAACACAGACAGCAACCTCTTTGACTTTGGCTGGAACAACTTCCTACTAGACATGTCACCAGAGACAAGGTAAACAAAAGCAAATATGCACTATTAGGACTTCATCAAGATAAATAGCTTCTGCACAGCTAAAAAAACAATAAAACTAAAAGGCAGTCTACAGAATGAGAGAAGATGTTTGTAAACGACATACCTGGAAAAGGGATAGCATCCAGAATCTATAAAGAACTTATCAAAACATCCAAAATGCAAATAACTTAGTTAAGAAATAGGCAGGGGCGCTGGGGTGGCTCAGTCAGTTATGTGTCTGACTCCTGATTTCCACTCAGGCTTTGATCTCATGGTCATAAGAATGAGCCCCATATCAGGCTCCATGATGACAGCATGGACCCTGGTTGAAATTCTCTCTCTTCCCCTCTCTGTGCACCCCCACCTCCGCTCACAGTCTCTTTCTCTCAAAATGGAAAAAAAAAAAAAAAAGAAAGAGAAAGTAAGAAAAGAGAAATGGGTAGAAGACATGAATAGACTTTTTTCTAAAGATGTCTAGATGGCTAACCAACACATGAAATATGCTCAATATCACTCATCATCAGGGAAATACAAATCAAAATCACAATGAGCTACCACCTCACACCTGTCAGAATGGCTAAAATTAACAACCCAATAAACAACAGGTGTTGGCAAGGATGCAGAGAAAGGAGATCTGTCTTGCACTGTTGGTAGGAACGCAAACTAGTGCAGCCATTCTGGAGAACATTATGGAGGTTCCTCAAAAAACTAAAAATAGAACTACCCTACAATCCAGCAATTGCACTATTAGGTATTTACCCAAAGAATACAAAAATACTAATTTGAGGGTGTACATGCACCCCAATGTTTTGGAAGCATTATCAACAAGGGCCAAAAATATGAAGAGAGCCCAAATGTCCACTGACTGATAAATGGGTAAAGCAGATGTGGTGGATATATACAATGGGATATTACTCAGCCATCAAAATAGAATAAATCTTGGGATTTGCAATGACGTGAGTGGAGCTAGAATGTATTATGCTAAGCGAAGTAAGTCAATCAGAGAAAGACAAATATTGTATGATTTCACTCATATGTGGAATTTAAAAACAAAACAGATGAACATATGGGAAGGGAGAAGGGAAGATGAGAGAGGGAAACAAGCCAAAAAGACTCTTTCTTAAATATTTAAAATTTTTTTTAAATGTTTTATTTATTTATTTTTTTAGAGACAGCATGAGCAGGGGAGGGTCAGAGACAGAGGGAGACACAGAATCTGAAACAGGCTCCAGGCTCTGAGCTAGCTGTCAGCATAGAGCCCGACACAGGGCTCAAACCCACGAACCATGAGATCATGACCTGAGCTGAAGTCGGACGCTTAACTGACTGAGTCACCCAGGCGCCCCCCAAAAGACTCTTAATGATAGAGAACAAACTGAGGATTGATGACAGGTGGGTGAGGAATGGGCTAGATGGGTGATGGATATTACAGAGGGTACTTGTTATGATGAGCACTGGGTATTGTATGTGACAAATCACTTAAGTCTCCTCCTGAAACTAATACTGCACTATATTCTAACTAAACATTAAATTAAAAAAATAAAAAATGACTCAAATATACATTTCTCCAGAAAAGATATATAAGTGGCCAATAGCACATGAAAAGATGTTCAACCTCACTCATCAATAGGTAGGAGATAATAGAAAATACACATACAGGTCTCTGCACCTGCTCACCATTTAGAACTCCTAAGACTCTTAGAGTTTTGAAGTGATAAAAGCACAAGGAGTGTCTCTTATTCTAATCTTTGGTCTTTGGCACTATCCCTGATATAGGGCTCCTATGTCCCTTGTAAATTCCGAAGTGGTAAGAACATTAGGAGCATCTTTTGCCATAATGAGGCAACCCTGGGTGGCCTCCTGGATGGGGACTGGTCACCAAATAACCAAGCTGTAATTAGGTGTTGGAATTGTCAGCCCCACCACCCCCATCCCCCAGAGGGGTAAGTGAGGCTGGAAACGGAGTTAATGACTGATCTTGCCTAAGAGATGAAGTCTTCATAAAAATCCCAAAAGTAGATAGGGAGTTTACAGAGCTTCCAGATAGGTGAACACATCCATATCTGAATAGGGTCACACATCCCAACTCCACAAGGACAGAAGCTCCCGCACTCAGGACCTTCCCAGACTCACCCTATGAGTCTCTTCACATGGCTGTTCATCTGTCTCCTTTATCATATCCTTTAATAAACTAGTAAATAATAGCAATTGTTTTCCTGAGGTCTGTGAGCCGCCCTAGCAAATTAACTGAACCCAAGTTTATAGCCAATCAGTCAGAAGCATAAGTGACAACTTAAACTCACAACTGCCATCTGAAGTGGGGTGGGGGCAGTCTTGTGGGATTGAGCCCTTAACCTGTGGGAATCTGACACTATCTCCAAGTGTCAAAATTGAGTTAAACTGTAGGACACCCAGCTAGTGTTGTAGACAATTGCTTGCTGTGGGGAAAAACTTCCACAATTTGGCAACCAGAAATGTGAGAAGTAAAGTGTTCTGAGTGAAAATAAAGGAGACACTCTGGAGAGAACAGTAGGTTTTCCAATGTAGTAGTGAAATGCAAATCAAAACCACAATGGAATACCACTTCACACCTATTGGGTTGGCTATTACTCCAAAAAGAAGAAATAAGCAAATAATAAATATTGGTGAGGATGAAATGGGAACCCCTATGCCTTGCTGATGGGAATATAAAATGGTGCAGCCCCTTTGGCAAATGGTATGGTAGTTCCTCAAAAAATTAAACCATAGAATTACCACGAGACCTAGTAATTGTACTTCTGGATATATATCCAAAACAATTTAAAGCAGGAACTCAAATAAAATACATATTTGTAGTCCCATGTTCATAGCAACATTATTCACAATAGCCAAAAGATGGAAGTGACCCAAGTGTCCATAAAAGGATGAATGGATAAACAAATTTTGGTATGTACAGACAATGGAATATTATTCAGCCTTAAAACGGAATGAAATTCTGGCACATGCTACAACACGGATGAACCTTGAAGACACTATGCTAAGTGAAATAAGCCAGTTACAAAAGGAAAAACAGTGTTAAGATGCCTTATACATGAGGTACCTAAAGTAGTCAAATTTATAGACACAAAGAGTAGCATGATGGCTGCCATGGGCTGGTGGGAAGTGAGAATGGGGCATTAATGTTTAACGGTATGGAGTTTCTGTTTGGGAAAATAAAGAAGTTCTGGAAATGGATAATGATGATGGTTGCACGATGTGAATATACTTAATGTCACTGATTTGTACACTTAAAAATGATTAAAATGGTAAATTTTGTTACATATACTTTGCCACAATAACAAATACATAGAGCACACTAAAACAGTCTTCCCGGTTTTGTGAGACTCAAGTACAATCTATGTAGAAAAGCTCTGCAACCTATACAATGTAGAAAAGCTCTGCAACCTATACAGTGCTTCACAAATACTAGCATTTTTTAATCATTATCACCCTGTTTACCCCAACCTGATACCATTACCCACATGTTATATCTGGCCATGCTCACCCAGCAGCACCCTGTTGCACTTTAAGTGTGGTACAGTGATAGCCACCTTCCTTTTGCTAAACCCTGGATTCTACATGTCAATACAACAGTCTTCCACAGTTCTGGCTCTGAAACAGAACAAGCCCCCCAAAAGACATAAATTTTAGACAAGCCTGATTGGATTTTAAAGAAAAAACTCAGAGACTTCTTCCTCTTACCCAGCTTTCCTCAATGCTTGGTTTGGAAGCAGTCCTCATTCAGCAGCAAGAGGTTACCATGCCATTGCCAAGAACAAGGAAAATCTTCCTCCAGTTCAGCTGACCACCTAACTCCCTGGCCCACTACCAAGCAATGTAGGTCATAAGGCAGCCCTTAAGCAGGTGAATAATCTTGAACCTTCTGGATTCTAGGAAACAAATAGAGGAAATGTCGTCATTGAGCATCAATTGAGAATAAAAGTAAATAGATAATAAAAATGAAAATGCTAAAATCAAAAGACCACAATGATCAGCTTTGATGGACTGCACAATTCTCTATATTGTAGCTTCAGAGCTGAACCCTCAAGTACTCATATATTGCTGCAGAACCAGTGTGATAATGCAGTAGTGCAAAACTTAGAATGATATTTCTTTCTGGAAAGCAATCCAATTGGAAACTACAACCAGATACTGAGCAAAATCTGTGTCAGCATTTAGGTGCTGTCTGAAAGCCCCAAGTATCTTTAGCTATTACAGGTGCTGCTCACTAAGAATTTCTCCTAACGTGGGTAATGCTACAGTGCCATCTAAAATCTTTTTATTATGTTTATTTATTTTTGAGAAACAGAGAAAGAGCACAACCAGTGAAGGGGCAGAGAGAGAAGGGAAATGCTGAATCTGAAGCAGACTCCAGGCTCTGAGCTGTCAGCACAGGGCCTGATGCAGGGCTCGAACTCATGAAACACGATATCATGACCGAGCTGAAGCTGGACACTCAACCAACTGAGCCACCCAGGCGCCCCTGAAATCTTTTTCATGCAATGTAACGTATACTCAGGAATTGCTGCCTTTTCAGATAGTCCCTGTTGGACCAACGAGGGATTTTTATTCCATGGCTCTTTGGGGAGCTTTAAATGTATGTCAAGCATGAAGCATGAAGTAGTACTTAATCCAGCCTTGTTATTTTGACCTTCTATGGCCAAGTCTCTACGTCCTCACATTCTTGAATGTTTTTGCTTGCCTCACTTATACCTTATCCAAGATTCTTAGTATCATCCACAAGACTAAATAAGAACTCAAGATTTTTTGACAAAACTTTCTGCCAACGCCCACAAATCTTGACTGTGGTTTCCCAAATTCTTTGATTCTCCACCATATACCCTTTCTTTTCTGTGCAAAGACCATAAATAACACTTACACTATATATAGTCCCACTTGTGTAGAACTGCATCTTTCCTAGTTTTCCCCTCTACCTCTTCATACTGCACCTATATTGTTGTGTTAACTGAAGTTCAGTCATAACACCTACAACAGCATCAGACACTCTCCCTTCTGTCTTTATTTTGCTATAACCTATTGGCTAAAGATATATGTCACTCCGGGAGTGTTGCAGTTAAGGAAAAAGACTCGAAGGGACAGCAGGCACTGAGGCTGGGGTCACCAGCCAAATGAAACCCAAATATACAAAAGCAAAAGTTTAGGAAACATCCCTTGCACACACCTCTTTTATAACCGGTAGAGTAGGGCTGGCTGGTTGATTAAGTGAAAGAACCAACAATCCTTTCTCCACAAATGATTGATGGCAGGACAACAAGCCCCTGGCTACAGGTGCCTCAACATATTCTTGGGTGGTTCATTGTTATGAGCCATTGACCCACCATCACCAGGTCAAATGCTCGAAGTTCTTTTCCAAAAATGGTAATAAAATTGGAGCCATTCATATTCCCTTCGTTATTCTAGGAGGCAATCGCTACAGCAGCTAAGCATTCAGTCTATGAGCCAAAGCGATCTGAGTTCAAATTATGCTTTAGCCGCTTGTTGAGTACCAACAGTCAATGATCTTTTCTTATACCCCCACTTGCCTACGCCCTCTGCCACTTCGCTCTCTCACCACCACCAAGCACAGAGAGCCCAGGGACTACATAACAGCAGACAGGGATCTGTTCTCCCTTTACCTCTTCCTATCCTCAGCTATGTTGCCGCCTTGAAGGTGAGCGCTCCCTCATTCTCTCATTCTCTAGAGTGCCGCGACTCTTTCCTCATACTGCACCGCACACTCCAGCTTTTGCAAAATAACGGGCACGCCGCTGGGGCGGGACCAAGCACTTCATTTCCTAACAGCGCGGAACTAAAATGAAAGTGCCAAGGTTGTTACCAAATGACTTACCTGTTACCATGGTAAAGCGGCTGCCGCCATTTTTATTGTGCTCGATGATTCCTCGCGTCGGTGTAGGAAAACACGAATAATAAGGAATTCTACAGAATAAAAGCCTTCCTTCAAGTTAGTCTGGGCGGTCACAAACATAGGTCGGAACCGAGTTATCCTCAGGCAGCAGCTCAGCCCGGAGGGGTTACTGCTCTCGTGGACTGAGCACTCCTGCTGACGGAATGACGTCAGGTGAGGAACCGTGTGTACGCCCGGCCCAGTTGCTTAACGGCTTACGCGCCGTACAGAAGCGTGTTTAACGTAAATCTCACGCGCCGTACGGAAGTGTGCCCTGGCGCACCGGAAGCAGCCGGAAGAGAGCGATGGCGGGCTTGACTGTGAGAGACCCTGCGGTGGATCGTTCTCTGCGTTCAGTGTTCGGTGAGAGGAATTCGTGGAGCCAAGCATCGGGGAGGGACAGAAAGAGACAGGGAGCTGCGAGGAATGCCTCCTGCACCTCATGAATTTCCACAGGAACTGTTTATGGGTTTGGCTTGCAGCTCTTCCTTCCTATCCTGTGGGGCGGCCAACCTGGTGGACTCGCGGGCAAAGTGATCCCCCTTTCCCCTGAGGTCTCACAGCGTTTTCAAGATGTGGCTGAGGAAGTTAAACTAGCTTTCAGCTTCTATGCATTTCTCCTTTCATGAGCCTCAATCATTGCCTGCTATTGAGGGCGCATGGCAACTGTCCTTTACTACTTCTCACCCCCTATCCCAGAATACAGATTATATGCTGAGTACATAGATCCTTGTGTCCACTTGCCGCCCTCTCATAAGCACTTTCCTCTGCTTTTTACTGTAACATTCTAGTTCGATACCGTTAGCGGCCACCTGGCGTCTTAAGGTGGATTGTGAATGAATGAATGAACGATTAAGACCTCGTCGAAGAAATTTTAAAGAGGATCGAGTCTATTCTGAGTAATCTTTTCAGACAAAATAAGTTCGTTTGTTTGTTTGTTTGTTTTTAAGTACCTGTGATTTTGCAGCACCTTTTGGAAGGGACATGACGAGACAGTTGAGAATAATTTTTAAACATCCTCCACTACATTCGTCTTCATTCTTCTTTGAGAGTGTGTGTATGTGTGGAAATATGGACATATTGAACCGGTTTTCAAAATACCAAATACAATGGTACTTTTAGTTCCTATTGATAAGACTAAAAGATTTTCAGGTAAATAACAAATGCCAGAGTATTTATTTTCACCGAAGTTAAGGAAAATCATAACACTTGTCAGATAAGTCTAAGAATTGCTATTAAGGAGTGCCTATACCTTTTATATTTAGACATAGTGGTTTATTTGTTCTGTAATTCAAGTCAGCAGATAAGATTAAAATCTTGTCTGAAGTACCATGGACCTGGGGTTGTAGGAACACTATTTCGAGGTAGTTGTTACATTTTCAATGATATGTGTAGATACCGGTTTACTTTCTCACCAAAGAAAAGGGTTACAAATTTAAGAGTTTTAATATGTTGTCTATTTTCTTCATAGTGGGGAATATTCCATATGAGGCTACTGAAGAGCAGTTAAAGGACATCTTTTCTGAGGTTGGACCTGTTGTTAGTTTCAGGTGAGATCCCCTTTGACTACTTGGGGTTTTCTTTAAAACCCAGATTTGGCCTTTAGCAATAATGACAAGGTTTTTACTGGTGACTTTTCACATTCTTCTTTTTGTTTGTAACAGCTTTATTCAGGTATGATTTACATACTATACAATTCACATTTTTATTTAAAAATATATTAAAAAAATACTTCAGTGAGGGGCATCTGGGTGGCTCAGTCAGTTAAACATCCGACTTTGGCTCAGGTCATGATCTCATGGTTTGAGTTCAAGCCCTACATCAGGCTGTTGGCTGTCAGCACAGAGTCTGCTTCGGATCCTCTGTCTCCCTCTCTATCTCTGCCCCTACCCTGCACTCTCTCTCTCTCAAAAATAAATACACGTTAAAAAAAATATTTCAGTGAGGCAGTCAGAGTGATAAAGTTATTTGTTTTAATGTGGACCAAATTAGAACATGGCAATGTTACTAGGAAACTGTATGTGTGTAACATTTGTGTCTGATACTTGGTTCCGCTCTTCCAGGTTGGTATATGATAGGGAGACAGGAAAACCAAAGGGTTATGGCTTCTGTGAATACCAAGACCAGGAGACGGCACTTAGTGCCATGCGAAACCTGAATGGGCGTGAATTCAGTGGGAGAGCACTTCGTGTGGACAATGCTGCCAGTGAAAAGAACAAAGAAGAGCTGAAGAGTGAGTATAAATCTGATTCATATGCAACATGGGTTAGTAAAGATGTATTGAAGATTTTCCATTTATGACGTGTTTTAGCATCTGCTGAAATGGTTAGCCACATAGCTTTTTTAGTTGACCCACTTGAGCCGCCTGCATTAAGGAAGTGTATATCTTTGAAAAAAAAAAGGAAAGTTGACTTTAGAAGTCCCTCCAGTTGCCACGGAGTTGATTTCTAGTTGAAGATGAATTCAGGTTCACCAAGCCATTAGTTGCACTAATAACTGGATCATTAGTTATCCACTGCTGTAACTATTTGTCAGATCTATAATTGGTGGGATTACTAAGGCATTCTCTTGGCTTTTTTCATGAGGTAACCGATCAGGAATTACATTTTGAAATTGGCATCTTTTTCTCTTATTTTGCTTCTGAAAATTAACATCTTTTTCTGTGGTTTTGCTTCTGAAATGAGTTGTCAAAAGAAATTCATATGCTCCATCCCTAATTTACATGAATATTGTCCACCCATGTGATCTTAGTCCCAGCTTTCCTCTGAGAGCAAAAATACACTCTGTCACTTTCCTCTACAGAAATAAGAGACTTGCAGATCACTTATTTCTCAGTTCCAGAGAATTTAAAGTTATCACTGGGTCCTGGAAGGGAAGCATCCCTGGAAAGTAGATACTTGAAATGACTTAGCTCTTAATTTTGCCTCCTTAACTTTTTGTACTTTCTTCCTGATCAGGCCTTGGCACTGGTGCCCCTGTCATTGAGTCACCTTATGGAGAGACCATCAGTCCTGAGGATGCCCCAGAGTCCATTAGCAAAGCAGTTGCCAGTCTTCCACCAGAGCAGATGTTTGAGCTGATGAAACAAATGAAGGTGGGAGGAGGCATTAGGTTAAGAACAAATCAAATCACAGCAAATTTTCAAGGAGTTCATTGATAAAGTCAGTGGAAATGTTTCCATGAACTCAAATAAAAGGTGTGCCTGTTAACCACCATTTCTTGCAAATTTGATATGCCACATGTGCATAGCATATTTTACATTTTGTGCAAAGAGCTTTCCATTTTTGTACACAAATACAGATACACAGTCTGGCTTTTTGTGGCCAGTAGATATCAGATGTAAATATTCAAATGTGGCTTTTTTCCTAAATGGTGGTATTATGGTATTCGAAATGCCTCTTCCTTCTTTTGCCCATCATGACCAAAATATTACATTTCTCAGATGAGAATGGCTCTAAATCACTATTAATTTCTAAGTAATAAGTATTGAATCTGATGATGAATCTGTTTGTCTTCTCAGCTCTGTGTCCAGAATAGTCCCCAGGAAGCACGGAACATGTTGCTTCAGAACCCTCAACTGGCTTATGCTTTGCTACAAGCACAGGTAGTGATGAGAATTGTGGATCCAGAGATTGCCCTGGTGAGTGCTTCTTGTTTTTTATGGAAATGCCACAGTAAACTGTGTGTGGGGTAGGAACTACTTGATTGCTTTGTCAAACAGCTCATAGATTTGTCTTTTCGTTTTTTAGAAAATTCTGCATCGCCAGACAAATATCCCAACGCTGATTGCAGGCAACCCTCAGCCAGTCCACAGTGCTGGGCCTGGCTCAGGATCCTCTGTGTCAATGAGCCAGCAGAATCCTCAGGCCCCTCAGGCCCAGTCTTTGGTAGGGATTTACCTCTTAATATTATTTTTACCTGTCTTAGAATGTCATTTTCATTTTAAGAAGATATATTGAAAGAAGAATAGTCAGGAGCTGAAGATGATAATTTAAAATTCCAGACAAGATAGCAATTTTCAGTTTGCAGGGTATGTGGCATTTGAATGAATGCAGATTCAGTGCCAAGTTTGTAGAACAAAGAGGTCTTTTCTGTGTGCCCTTTTACAGAAGCTAATTTTGTGTTTACATGCCTGTACGGTACTGTGGTCGACAGTTTGTTATTCAACATACATCTCATTTAGTATTTAACAGTAATTGTGTCAGGTTGGCACTTGTGTTATCTCCTTACCAATGGGAAAATGTAAAGCTTATTTTCTAAGCATGACATAAAACTTTGAAGCCATAAGAAATAAATACATTTGAAAGCTGAAAATTTTCTGTATAAGGAAAACAAATCGGGGCGCCTGGGTAGCTCGGTTGGTTGAGCATCCGAACTCGGCTTAGGTTATGATCTCACAGTTTGTGAATTTCAGCCCCACGTCAGGCTCTGTGCTTGACAGCTCGGAGCCTGGAGCCTGCTTCAAATTCTGTGTCTCCCTCTCTTTGCCCCTTCCCCGCTCATACTCTGTCTCTCAAGAATAAATAAACATTTAAGAAAAATTAAAAAAAAAATAAGCACCAAAAACAAATGACAAATTGGGAAAACTCTTTGCCACACTCATGATGGACAACAATCTGATTACTAGTCCTTAGTCATGTTCAAGAATGTTTATTGTCACAATATAATAATGAAATATTGAAATATCCTAAATGCACATCAGTGGAAGAATGGGAAAAAATGTGTTTTTATCCAGTGTGCCACCATAAATGACTTTCAAAAACATAATTCCATATAGCAGATAAGATGAACTAGGATACATGTTAACACAGATAACCCAAATGTTCTAAAAGTGAAAATAAGTGAATGTAGAAGCCTTCTCAAAATACAGGATATATGTGTTTGCATATATCCCAAAAATACACTGAAATGTGTTTAGTATGTATGTTTAGTTTGTAATGATTTACAGACAATTTCAAAACATCTATAAAAATTCTTAAGTGGTTGTTTTAAGAAAGGGATATAGGGAGGCACCTGGGTGGCTCAGTCAGTTAAGCATCCAACTCTTGATTTTGACTCAGGTAATGATCTAATCATCATGAGATTGAGTCCTGCATTGGGCTCCATGCTTAGTGTGGA